AATGGAAATAGTAATGCAATGTCTAGTTTATGGCTTGGTAGGAACATCTTAATTAAGTACCATGGACCTAATAATAACTGATTCACTTGCAGCCTTAATATACCATGGTACTGAGGTAGAAATTGATATCATCACTACCAGAAAATGGAGATTTCATGAGTGGTTAATTTTTGTGAGAGTTATAAACACACTCTCATGAAATTAATATTTTTCATGGCAATGTTGTAGAAACCTTCATGAAAAAGTGTTATCGTGAAGGTGTTTGATGCTGCCATGAAATATGGTCATTAAAGTGACGGTTCACATAAACTCTCATGAAAATTGATATCCTCGCCAGGGAAAACAACACCTACACAACTCATTTTCGGCTGGACAGGCTCAATTTTCTCCTTCCCGCTCAAGCCAATTGGACAGCCCGAATTGTGCTCCCAATAGGCAAACCCTAACTTAAATTTGTTTATCCCCAATCTGCCACACCCCATTCCTGCGGCTACCAGGTGACAGCGCCCCTTACCTCTCACCACCCCCCTACCACAGTCCATCGGCCATTGGTACTTGTAACACACTAGTGGCCGCCGGTGACAAGCCGTTGATGTGAGCACACGGTGGGTCTCAGATTTTGGAGAACAAAGGAGGAGGACAACCTCGACCATGCTGGTTTCTTGATAATTTTGCGAATGAGTCTTCTCTTACAAGTCAGGGCACTTACATGCCATTACAGTCACTGGCTACCCGGGGCCATATGACAGTTACAAAACTAATTAACAACTAGTTACTAAAACAATTACAACTGCATTGCTCGAGCTAGTTACACAAGCAACTACTACACAAACAAGCACAAGATATGAATGTAATGAGCAAGTTGTTGGCGGTCACTAATGACCACTTCTAACCGCCGATTATAGTCGAAAACAGGAGAAACAAACATACTTTTAACATATGCCTTTACTATTGACCTAGTTCCACTTGTATTCGAGAAAACATGTTTTTCAGGTCATACATTCGAATTCAAGCGAAAAATAAACAAAACCAAGCAAAAAGGCGTAAACAGAAAGCGTAAAGCAGAAATGCGCAAAGGAGAATAAGAAGATAAGCCCACCTACACAACTTACCTGGGTAGACTACCACCATGGATAGGGTCCAGGCCCATCTAGGAACCGACCAGGCGAAGGCGGTCATGAGGTGGGCCCACCAGGGTGCGGGCGCTTCCTGGGTGCAGCCGCACCCCCACTGCCTCCGCTCAGCCCCACTCTTCTACGGCGGTTGCATGCCGCCATGCTACGACGGTTCCCGGTGGTTACCAAAAATACATGCGCCAAACCGACCAAGAATTAGTATAAATAGGAAAGTAGCGCTCACCTCACAACACTCCAACATTTGGAGCTACACCTCACCTCTCTACTTGTACTCTTTTAATTCTTAGCTTTAGTAGTATTTGAGAGCAAGGCAAGAGCTACTTGGAGAGCTTGTCTCCTTGGAAGAAAGAGCAACTTTGGTATGAATAATACTATGAAGAGTTCTTCCATAGTCATGCTCTCATATCATTTATATAGTAGTGCATATGAACTAGAGTATAGTTTTCATGTTATGATCATGATATATGAACTAGCATATAGTTTGTGTGTTATGATCTTAACATGTTCAACTTTATGCTTAATCATTCATATGAATTGTATGAGTAGAACTAGGGTTGAGGTGGCGGTTCGTCGTTCCTTCAGGGTTGCCTATATTCTTGTTTGTCAATCCATAGGGTTTTAGTCCTAGGGGAATATAGGTAGTTTCCTTGTACATGGGCGTGGTGCTCGGGTGGACGGGAACCTTCGGATATGAAGGTATCCCGTGGTTGAGGTGTAGGCGGCAGGTGGTGATAGCCCTGTCTGTCCCTTGTAATCCTCCATGTCCGGTTATTGTGTAGGAGTTTCAAAGTCTCTCGCGCTTGATGGCAGACCAGTGCTCGGCGATCTCCCCGTCCATCTTAATCATAGTTCTAACTCTAGTCGTATAACTTGTATGATCATTATCTGTTCTTTGCACGGCTATATTTGAACATGCCGGCTCCATTTTGGAATATTCTTTTATTCTTTGTTATTCTTTTATCCTTGAAGTTAGCCCAGATGTGTGTCCACTATCCATGAAATACCGTTTTTACTCCTGTTATGAATTATGGTCCACTATGCAAGTATGTAATCATGTTTATGTCTATGCTAGAATATGTATACCTTGCCCTCTTTTGGAAAAATATAAATAACGATACCCTGAATACTTCTGGGTGAAATGCTACAACGATAGATCCGTACATTTGCAGATATTGTCTGTAATCTTTAAGGACTATCGTAGTTGGTGTTTCTTGGCGACGTTGCTAAGATTAACTCAATCTTAGTAATGGTGTTAAGAAATACCAATAGGCATTTCTGGCGCCGTTACCAGTGATGGACTTAAAACCTCCTCACCTGGTGATTGCGCTACCAAATGCTAAAACAAGTGTATCGTATGCAACCATCAAGGGCAAGAGATGAACACAAGATCTATCCCCGTGGTTTTGGTTGCTTGCCGACAACCAACGTCCATTTTGTGGCGAGTCCCCAACTGATGATTCGTGCACTAACTAGCGTGACAAGCTAGATCCACAACTTGGGTGCCACAAGAATCAATCAAGTGGTGCACTCCAACCACTAGCATTCCACTATAGTTGTTCTCCTCAATCTCGGTGCGAGCTCTAGTGCTCACACCAGACACCTCCAGTGGCCCTTTGAATTCCCCGCCCTCGGCTGGGACGGCACCGGTGGATGCCTCCAGTGGTGCATGACCGATGCACACCCGAAAGGCAATGTGCTTTGCTGAAAACCCCACTCAAGTCAGGCACTGAGTGAGAGCTTAGGTGGGCACTGCTGTGCCACACCAGACAACTCCGGTGAGTGCAAAACAGCTCAGCCGGTAGCTCTCTCTTCTCCCATTTTGCAAGCGTGCCAACTCTCAAATGTTTTGTCAAACATCTAAGCACTTGAGTTAGCATTTTTTTCAAAGTGTTTTCAAAGACATTTTCGCTTGCTATTCACAATGTCACTAGGTTTAATGCAAATACATGTAAATCAACACCTAGTGGCACTAGATAACCGTGTTTAATTTGCTATTTTTAGCTCCCCTCTTAATAGTATGACTATCTATCCTAAATCTGATGACACACTCTATTGCGTCTTGGCTTACAAAACAAAATCCCTATCTTATACCTTTGCCTTGATCATCATAGGGTTTTGTTTTTCCATTTCTTTTTTTTTCAAGTGTGAACTAGCTCTAATTAGATTGATCACCCTTCATCCATCTCCAAATCTTGCTCACCACCTTGGTGTGGACTTAACCTAGCTTAATCACACATTTAGCAATAGGTTAGTCCACTAGTTGTCTCAATTACCAAAATGAAACACGTGTGGCGAGGTCCCCCACTTGGCGCTGCAGTCCATAGACGGCCGCGGTGAGAGCGTTGAGGGCGTCGGTGGAAACGATGGTGAGAGGGGGTTGCGACACAGCGGGCGGCGCGGTGGTGACTATGGCGGCGGCGGTGAGTGCGGGTGCAGAAGTGATCACAGGGATGGCGGCGGAAGCTCCGGCACCTGACATTGATACCAGATTGTTGGAGCTTAGGTTGTTACGCAGGTAGTAGGAATGGGAGGTGGATGGACGTGGCTTGAATGATCGGCGACGGACTGGCAGCGCCGTGCTCGGCGCCTGCGACTAGGGCTAGAACGCGTGAGAGAGAGAGAGAGAGAGAGAGAGAGAGAGAGAGAGAGAGAGAGCTGAACTCCAGGGAGCGAGAGAGATGAGTCTCAATCTCTGGCTAACCTTCTATTAATCCAAGTGTTCAATACTTATAACAAAATCCTAACAACCAATCTGCTAGCTTAAGGGAATAACAAACCAATCTCCCAAACATTTGGATCAAGCAACTAAAAACCGAACTCTGGGCGACACGGCTTGACGCGTCGCAGCTGGTGACTGCGCTCTGGCGTTCTTGGCGTGGCCCGCTGCTCAGCCACTTTCCTTGCCGCGTCGCTGGTAGACGTTCCCCACCATAACAGCTTCACTACTGCATGTTAGATGGTTCTTGTCTGCTTTTATTGGATTCTCTCCACTAGTCAGCATAAATCTTTAACCATTGAAAACCTGTTAAGCTTAGAAACTGTTCTTTTTTCTCACATACTTAGATCTTTTGGTCTATATAACGGAATTGATAGTTCCAACTTCCAATATGAACCCATTTCTTTTGGTTGTGTGATCTAGACAATGATTCTGGGTAACCTAACTTGTGGTTTACTGCAAAAGGAATTTCATAAATCGTTAGTTGGCAGATGTAGTTTACTTGTTGAGCACTCTCATCATTCTATTTTCTCAATGCACAGATCATTCACGTTATAGGTTTCACAAATCACAAATTTTGATATATGTTATGATATGTTGATCGTTGAACAAGCTTGTTAATACATAACTGTTACGTTTTTGCCAAAATGATACTTTGGATGCTAACGCGGAATGGGTAGTATTGACTAGACGCAAAACAAAAGAAATTGAAAGCTGTTATTCCATATAACATGTAGCTAGTGACCAGTGTGACAAGAACACAGAATCGGCAACAGTAAAAGTTTAACACTTGACACAAGAGAACATCAAATTAACTATAAAAATGGCTCCTTTTTTTGTAATTTTCTGTGACACTTGCAAAAGCTTTAGCTTTAGTTTACTCTGCTGCTATCAATAACTGGCCCAGTGACTTGTTGGTCCTCCATTAACAGTTCTTCGTGTGCTATTTTTTAATGTTAATTCTGACATTATAGTGCTACTGTTCTTCTGGTACTGCTTTTATTGTTCTAATGATAAGATGTGAACTAATGACTCTCCCATGCAGGGTTTTCAGCAGAAACTCTTGTTCCAAGGAACCAGGATGTGGGCTTAGCTGAGCTCCCACCAACTGTGGCAGCTTGTGGAGAATCCAAGTGGAAAAATCGTGTATGATGAGTATAACCATGAGCGCTACCCGCCTAGGGGACCCCAGCAAGCGTGCATTTGCCTACTTTGTGCTGAGTGGTGGGAGGTTCATTTACGCATCTTTGCTGCGACTTCTCATCTTGAAATTCGTCCTGAGCATGTCAGCAAGTAAGGATGTTCTCGCACTTGCCTCTCTTGAGGTTGACATCTCAAGCATTGAGCCTGGCACCACAGGAACTGTGAAGTGGCGTGGCAAGCCGGTCTTCATCAGGCGGAGGACAGAGGATAATATCAAGTTGGCCAACAGTGTTGATGTCGCGTCCCTCCGCCACCCAGAGCAGGATGCAGAGCGCGTCAAGAACCCCGAATGGCTGGTCGTCATTGGGGTCTGCTCTCACCTGGGCTGCATCCCGCTCCCCAATGCAGGAGACTTTGGCGGCTGGTTCTGCCCGTGCCACGGCTCACACTACGACATCTCTGGTAGGATCCGCAAGGGCCCGGCACCCTTCAACCTGGAAGTGCCGACATACAGCTTCTTGGAAGAGAATAAGCTTCTCATCGGCTGAGATTTCTGTTAGTGCTGTCCCTATGGCCCTGTCATTTTGTGTTTGATCGACAACTTTACCTTTTCTCTTGCATGGGTTAGGGTATACCTTTGGTGGACTGTTGCTGTCGCAGAACCGACCAATTTATAAGAGCACAAGTATAATGACAGCCCGTAAGCGGTCGCACTGTCATACCGTGAGCCCATATAAACCCGGTAGTCCATCGAGTACCACGACGGGTCTCGATAAACGATCCACATACAACCAAGATCGTACATGATTCAACATACATGTCACATGTTACATAAAATTCACAGATACAGTTCATTCATCAGAGTGCGAAATAAGGTTATTACAAACCAAGTTTGATAGATAGTAGCAGAAGTAAATTAAAGTTCGAAACTAGCATTTGTCAACATAGTTCAAATACAGTGCCATCTCATGATCACAATCCACAAAAGCATATAAGAGGGATTATTAAAGATGCCTGCCCAAGGCTCACTCCTCATCCACGGCGGGATAGAAACAGTTCTTGCAATAGCCGTGATAAACTGTACCATCTGCAATAATGGAAATAAAATCCTGAGTACGAGAATATACTCAGCTAGACTTACCTGTCATAAACCAGAAATAAATTAACTCCAAGGATTATGCAAGGCTTTATAAGTAGAGGTAACTTAACAACATTTTACATAAAAAGCGATTAACTCAGTTATACAATTATAGTTCAGTCATCAAGTTAATTACAGCTATTCATCTCTAGATTAGCAACTATCATGTGTCAAACATGTGGTATATCATTTGATAACATACAATAGTAACCATAGCAGATGTAGTAATTCCAGGTTTATCCGAACCATCACATTCCATAATACCATTACTACGATGTTGGAGCTAGCCAAGTTTCTCACTATCCGGGAGAGAGGGTGATTCGAATCGATTTCAACCAGCTGAGAATTTATTCCTAACACAAACCCAGGTAGACCAGATCAACGGTCACCTTAGGTCACCTTTGGTACAACTCAAGTCCACATTTCATAGGTTCGTCCAGCGCTGCACAATCAGGGACAACCAGCCGCCAGGACGTTCAGGCCCGGCCTGCCCTTGGGCTCACGTCTGGCTTCCCGCACATCCTTACTACCATCCAGAGTGCGCACTCTAACAGAGCGGGGCCCGGCTTGAGTTGAGCTACTCGGCTTCGTGGTCGGAACGAGTTATCCGGCCAGCTAAGTGATAGGCATGCGTTCAATCTTGTCAGAAGTGCCAACAATGGTACGGTCCTTAATCGGCACAGATGGAATCACATGAGTCAACCTACACATAAACTCCGCCCGGCCTTCATTTACATTACCCCATGATTCTTTTCAACGATAGCAAATATAGCCAACCGTGCTTCGGTATCCACCTATATCTCGCAGGAGATAGGAAATCACGCGACTTCTACCGGTCTAAGCATATATTTGATTTTGGACCTACACAGGGTTAAAGGTATATGTAACTGGACAATATAGTTCTATGCATCAAGTGTTTCCAATCAACTCTTATAACCTAATGCATCAAACATAAAGGACTCAAGCAGTTTTTTGTAAAACATGGGTGACTTAGAATGCTCCGGGGCTTGCCTTTGAGGAAAGAGGTGGGTCGGTGATCTGGGCACTCAGGGAGCTTTTCGGGAATCTGCTTCTCTTCTCCTAGAGCTGTGGCTTGAGGAGTCTCCTGCTGACTCTCCTCCTCTTCTTCGTTGAATTCCAACAACATTATCTCTTCGGTCGATCCTATATACATAAGCATGGAATAAGATATCGTGCATGCATATATAATGACACATGTAATATGATATAACATGATGAATGCATCCTCATAAGTACTTTCAATAGCATGGTATTAAAGTAATAATAAGTGCATCTTATTTTATTGAGTAGGTGCATATCTCTTCTCTACTACTTAAGTAAACACTTCTGTAATCTATTTACCAGACTTTAAGACAACAGCTAATTGTTTTAATCATAACTGGAGTTATACACATCAAAATAATATGGTTGTGGACATTCTAGAAAGCTTATAAAATTTTCTATAACTTTCTTTTAATACCCTTAATGTGATTCAATAGTTATCTAGATTAAACAATTTATTTTTCAAATCTGTCTAGACAGTAAACATTTTGGACAACAAACTTCTAACAACCAAAACTCTTAAACCCTAAGGTCTATGACTATGAAAATTTAACATAAAGTAGACTAGTAAGTTATCTACAACTTTGTTATTAACAAGTTTTACAAAAAGGCCATTATCAACATGAAATTATCAGCTCAACAAAAATTATACATGTAGCCATTTATTTAAATTATAAAGCAATGATTAATTAGTTGCATACAACCAATTGCTTCTAAGCCTTACTATTAACATCAACAATTTATATGTATCACAAGCACTAAGTGCCAAAAAATAGTGTTTTGCTAATTTTTGTGAGCACTAAATGACCAAGTTAGGCACTGAATTAGCTCCTGACCCAAAAATCAAAGTTGTTGCTCTAATCAAGTATTACAACTTTTCTTAAGGGTGCTTTGCCATGCAAACACTCTATGACATAGTTCAACCTAGGTCAAACATACCACTTGAAAATGATGACTTACACTATAACTATGACTTAGAGACCAAATTAGCCTTAGTCATGAATACCAAAGTTATTCCATATGATATTCTAAACATGTTTAGAGTATTCCTAAGGTTCCACAATCATTTTATACATTGGTTACATATAATACTTCCTAGGTCAACAAGCATATCATCACTTAGGGGCTTAATTAGATAAAGTGATCTACATGAACATTGTTCTATTAGTCATCCTAAGTGTAGCTAAGGTGTCTTAGTGACCACTTGCACTTATTCACACATGATCATAAGCATACACATATGGAAACATAGAATAACAAGGCATGTTTCACATGTTTCAATTGTACGTTTCACATGTAAAAGCTTATATATGAATGCTTGATGATTATGCTCATGCAATGCAAGTGAAATTATGCAAGCCTAACACCTAGGGTGTTACAGCCCCTCCCCCTTATAGAAATCTCGTCCCGAGATTTGTAAGACCTACCATTCCTTGAAAAGGCGGGATAAATCTCATGTAAGTAATCCTCCTATTCCCACCTGGCATCTTGTTCATTGTGGTTATTCCACACCACCTTGTAGAACTTAATGACCTTACTCCATGTTACTCTTTCCATCTCTTCTAACACTCGGATTGGTTTCTCCTCATACGTCAAATCCGATTGGAGCTCAATGTCGGTGGGTGCAATGGCTTCCTCAGGTATGCGAAGACATCTCTTCAGCTGAGAAACATGGAAGACATCAAATATAGCACTCATCTCTGGGGGAAGTTGTAACTTGTAAGCGACATTTCCTTTTCGTTCAATAATCTTGTATGGCCCTGCATATCTAGGCGCAAGCTTTCTTTTCACTCCAAATCTCTGTACTCCTTTCATGGGTGACACTTTTAAGTATACATACTCTCCCACTTCAAAAGTCAGTGGTCTTCTTCTTTTATCAGCATAACTCTTTTGTCTTGACTGAGCTGCTTTCATATGCTGTTGGATAATGCGCACCTGCTCTTCAGCTTCAGTGACAAAGCCAATGCCAAAGTATCTTCATTCACCGAGCTCAATCCAATTCAAAGGAGTTCTACATTTCCTACCGTACAAGGCTTCAAAAGGAGCCATCTTGATGCTTGCTTGATAACTGTTGTTGTAGGAGAACTTGGCTAAAGGTAGCCATTTCTCCCATGAACCCTTGGAAGATATAACACAAGCTCTCAACAAATCTTCTAGGATCTGGTTTACTCGCTCAGTCTGTCCAGAAGTTTGTGGATGGTATGCTGAACTTCTGATTAGTTTAGTCCCCAAGGCTTGGTGCAAGTGTTCCCAGAAATGAGCTATAAACTATGGTCCTCGATCTGAGATTATAGTCCTGGGTATTCCATGTAGTCTCACGATCTGAGAAACATACAGTTTAGCGTACTTCCCCACGTGATACCTTGTGTTCACTGGTATAAAATGTGCTGACTTGGTGAGACGATCTATAATGACCCATGTGGAATCATGACCTTGTTGTGTCATCGAAAGGCCTATAATAAAGTCCATACTTATTTCTTTCCATTTCTAGCCTAGAATAGGCAATGGCTGAAGCAATCTGGTAGATTTCAAATGAACGGCCTTTACTCTACTGCAATTATCACACCTAACGACATAGGCGGCAATCTCTTTTTTCATCTTGGTCCACCAAAAACGGGTTTTTAAATCTTGATACATTTTGCTGCTACCCGGGTGGATAGACAACTTGGACGAATGAGCTTCATCTAAAATTTGATTGCTAGGCTCACGTTCTTTCGGTACCACAAGTCGGTCCTCAAACCATAGCACACCTCTTTCATCTAATCTGAAATGCTTGGTTTCTTGCTCTTGCATCTTTCTCTTGATGTGAAATATACCTACATCTGTCTTATGTAGTTCTATGATTTTGCTCTCAAGTGAACAACTGATAGTGATATTGTGCAGCACAACAGGATGTAACAAATTAAATCCATCCTCCAACAATGCTTCCAAAGTGTTGCAATGAGATTTCCAACTAAGTGCATCTGCTACAACATTGGCTTTTCCTGGATGGTAGTGCACTTCCAAATTGTAGTACTTGATCAGCTCTAACCATCTTCGCTGTCTCATGTTCAGCTCAGGTTGAGTGAAGATGTATTTGAGACTTTTGTGATCAGTATATATGTGACATACGTTGCCCAACAAATAATGTCTCCATATCTTTAACACATGAACAACTGCTGCAAGGTCTAAATCATGCGTAGGGTAATTGACTTCATGCTTTCTCAACTGCTAAGAAGCATAGGCAATAACTCTTCCTTCTTGTATGAGCACACACCCTAAACCTATACTCGATGCATCATAGAACACATCGAAAGACTTTTCAATGTTAGGTTGTGCTAAAACAGGAGATGTAGTTAACAGAGTCCT